CTATCTCATGCCTTGTTCACCCAGCCTAACCAAACCTCCAGTGTGGAAGTGGCCTCACAGAGTCCTACTCCAGTGTCTCATTGAGGCATGGCAGCAACTTAGGGGCTTTAAAGGCTCTGCCAGCAGAGTTAAGTTCTGGCAGATTCTACATTGAGAAAATGTGGACATGGTACTGGGCTGGCAACAGATGGACTCCGCTCTCTGAGGACCACTTTAGCAAAGTATCCAGAGGCTCCTTACCTACAATAGTTTGACCATTGGTGATGAATTCTTTAGCCAAAGCACTCTATTAAAAAAAAGAAAAAAAAAAAGTCCTCTGCGGCTTCCACCCTCTTGTTTCTGCAGAGGGAAAGGTGGTGGGAAAGGGAACAGAGGAGACTCAAGAGTGAGAGAGAGAGCATCCAGGCCAGGGGAGGCCAAGCCGTGCAAAGACAGGAGAGCATCAAGTCATTCTCCACTGCCGTAAGGGTGCAGAGGTAGAGAGACAGAACGTCACTGTTTTGTTTGTTTGTTTTATGATTTCTGTTTGACTCTTCATAGGTGCTGTGAGAAAACCATGGAAGTTATGAGAAATTCTCAGGAAACTCTTTTAACCATTGTTGAGGTAAATGTTTTCAAGCAGTAAACTGTAAGGCAGTCTATTGATTCTCTTCCTTTTCCCATAGAATAACATCCTGCTGGGCTGCAGTGATTCAGATGGAGATGAATACCCTGATTATCACCACTCCTATTTAGGATAGCATTGGTGTTGATCACCAATCAGTTCAGATGTTATTATTAAACTTTTTTGCATTGCTTTAGGATTATAAACATTAATGTTTAATATGTAAATGAATACTTTCATTTCTTAGATCACTACCTACTATGTCTTTTCATAATGGTGGTCAGGCCTATGTTCCTTTCATATTATCTGCCTTAGCTGTTTCTGAATGTAGTTTTAGCATGCACACAATTCTTCTAAGGCATATACTCCTTACATTTAGGTCCTGCTCTATGATCCTCTCTTTGATTGGACCATGAACCCCTTGAAAGCTTTGTATTTACAGCAGAGGCCAGAGGATGAGACTGAACTTAATTCTACTCTCAATACAGAAGATCAAGAATGTAACAGAAGTCTTGGGTGAGTAATATCTGAATGAAAGGCATACTTATGTTATTTTTTAAATTCCCAAGGCTTTTGAAACTACACTGTCATAGTGAAATTTCTTTTTTTTGTCACTAGTCGTATTGACCAGAGTTTCAACAAAGTGGCTGAACGTGTTTTAATGAGGCTGCAGGAGAAGCTAAAAGGGGTAGAGGAAGGAACAGTGCTCAGCGTGGGTGGACAAGTGAACTTGCTCATCCAACAAGCAATGGATCCCAAAAATCTCAGTCGACTTTTTCCTGGATGGAAAGCTTGGGTATAATCTTTGGGATTTGAAAATCAGAATTGAAATTACAGACCCCCTTTTTTCCCCAAAAGTTTGCCTTGAAATTGACTGCATAGCTAATAAGCTATAGCTAATAATAATGATGATGTAAACTTAGGTAATAGTATATATTTTTTTTCCATTAAAAAGATAGTCCAAAGATGTTATGTAATAGTCCTGAGGAATATTTCTTGGTACTTTGGTTGGAAATAGGGATGCCAAATGTAATATACTTCTAAACCAATTTTAGAGAGTTCTTCGTTGAAATAAATGATGTATTTAAGTATAGGCATCTGTTAAGTGTTTTTAATATAGCGATTATAATTTTAGATTCTGATACTAGCCTTACTGAATGATTCATCATTGGAAGAAACACATAGACTATTTTTTTCTCTTCACTTGTCTTTAATAACGTTAAATAAATAGAACGTTTGGCATATCTAGAGGAAGGATAGCTAGGATAGTGAGAACACTGCAAATCACAGAGGGATGTAATAGCAATCTTGAGAATCGAAAGGTTAGAATATGTATGCAGGGTTAGATTTGCTGTTTTGCTAGGATGAATAGAGGAAATTATAGAATGATAGATTTTAGCTCAATATAGGGAAGAAAATATAATTTAAATTTTTTAAAGTCATTTAAAAAAAAACATTTCGCAAATGTCCCCACCCCCACAGAAGTCTTCAATGTAATAAAGACAGTTAAACAAAATAAACCAACACATGAACAGTGGTTTTACCATCAGTGTTCTGGAGTCGAGATAAATCATTGCATTGATCAGAGTTCTGATGTATTTTAGTCTTGTTTTCCTTTATATTATTATAGTCACGAAAAATATTCTCGCTTCTACTTTGCTTTTAGTTTTTCTTTCCAAGTTTTTCTGAATTCTTCATTTTGCCTTTTCTCATGGTACAATAGTATTCAGTTACATTCATAGATGAGGCATAATTATCTACCAGTTATTTGACTATAAATGGGAATTAGTGAATTTTTAAGCATAAGCTGATTGACAGCCTATTTGTGAATTCTTTTACTGAATGATCTTAGAATTCAAATTAACCATTTGCATTTCTAGTAAACTGCCTTTCACAGTTTGTGTTTGTGTTATTTTCTCACAATGTCTGATGAATAATTGTTGAATTGCTTGTGTGACATATAAGAAGTTGAATGTCTTATACCTAAGGTGAAATTATTCTCATTAAAAATATTTCTTAAAAAGGAATCCTGTTACCTAGTCTTAGATGAACAAAATTACCAAATACCAGTTTAAAATGGGCTAACTATAAGGGAGTTAATTTACATGAGATACTAATTTCCTCTGTAGTGGAAAGCTAGTCATTTATTTTGCTCATCTATAAAATGGAATTTTAAGACTGTTAATGTTTATAAACCATCTTCAAAAGGAAAATAGCCAGTTGCTAAAAATGGAATATTTTAATGACTTTTTTTTAGTAATACCTTTAAGTATTATTGGTAAACGGCCACCACGTTGTTATACTTCCCACATTCCATGGGCATATTTTGTGAAAACTAGAAGGCAACAGTTTTGCTTTCTTTAGGCTGAACAAAATGGTTTATAAGTTACAGTGAATTCTCAAAGTTGCTTTTTGGTTTTAGTTCAAGGAAATCTGGGTAAGAGAATTTAAAAGACATGATTAGTTTTTAATGTGTTGTGTTGCTGACGGTGTACATCCTCAATAGAGTTTTTGGTTAGCTTCAGTGTCTGTTAGTTACTGTAGTATTCTCCAGTAGGTATGCCATCAGAGACACTGTATTCTGTTTCGAAAGTTTGGAGCTTTGCCAGTTTAGTAAAAAAAATTAACACTTTTTAATCTTCTGTCAGCAAGTGCACATACCAAGAATACTGTATCAGTGGAAACAAGAAATTGAGATTGGGAAGGATTTTTCTAAAGGTGGTTATATCATGCTTCTCATTTTTTTTGAAGGGGGGCAGATAAGCAAGAGGAAGGGGTCTGCAATAGTAGAGGCAGAACCCAGCCAAAGAAAAGGATTCTTTAGGGGTGTTTAAGGGGCGTTACTAGTCCCTTAAAGGGCCTGTAGTTTTGGTGGGCTCATTCTCAACAAAAATGTATAAATTAAAAGAGACAACATGATTAATAGGTGAAGAAAAAAGTGCAAAGCCATAAATTTTTTATATCTCTTGTGAGAAAAGTTATTCAGTTACATTATGTATTTGCTCTCTTGAAATATGCGCACTAAAAAATTCTGAGGATTAAAAAAAAATTTTAATTTGGTAATGAAATGAATTTTCACATGTATTTAAAGGGCTACTCTTTTCACTGCCATAGGTCAGTCTCCTATAAAACTTTATTAAGAACACAGTCTGCTAATTTTGAATGCAGAGAAATGTATAATTAAAATTCTAGTTGCATGTTAATAAAATTGTGTATTTCTGTAGAATTATTGTTACTTAACATATTGATGTAAAATATACAACAAACCATTTCAATAAAAATAGACCTATAAAACAATATTAAAAACTCATACACTAGATTTCAGAGTGGTGATTTTATATTAGCAATATGGTTTTGTTAATGTCTATAGAATCTCAGGTTGAAAGCTATGTATAACTTTGGGGTTTTATTTTCCTTCATAACTAGGGAATGGTCTAGTGTAATACCTCGGCTCTCTAGGATCTTCATTTTTTTTCTTTTTTTTTATCTTTTTTTATTAATTTATTTTGATTTATCAACAATCACTTCTGTATGCTTTTTGAGTTTAAAATTTTTCTCCTCCTTCCTTCCCACCACCCTCCCCAAGACAGCGCACAATCTGATATAGGCTATATATTTATATTCATATTAAACATCTTTTCACATTAGTGATGTTGTAAGTAAAAATTAAAACCAATAGGAGGAGCTATCAGAAAGAGGAAACAAAACTCAACAGAAGAGAAAAAAAACATAGCAATTCGACTTCCATAGTTCTTTCTTTGGATGCAGATAGCATTTTCCATCACAAGGCCTCTGGAAATGTCTTAGATAGGATCTTCATTTTTAAAACTATCAATCAATCAGGCTTTCTTTAGCACCTAGGTAGGTCTTCTTGGCCAGTTTACTGATGGTATGGTTTGTTTGTTTCCTCTTACCAAAACCAATCTCTCCACAAATATCCTTGATCCTGTTTCCTCCACAAATATCCTTGATCCTGTTTCCTCCCATATATCTCCAAATGGATTGTTCCCACAATGGCCTCTCCCTCTAATCTTTTCTTTTTTATTTGTGAGGCAGTTGGGGTTAAGTGACTTGCCCAGAGTCACACAACTAGTGAGTATTATGTGTCTGAGGCCACATTTGAACTCAGGTCCTCCTGACTCCAGGGCTGGTGTTCTATCTATTGTGTCACCGAGTTACCCCCTCTCCCTCTAATCTTAGTCTCACCCTGCTACCCATAAACATGCCCTAGTCATTGCCATTCTGAAAAAACTCACTAGACCCTACCATCCCCACAAACCATTGTCTCTTCCCATTAATAACCAAATGCACATTTTCACATTCCAGTATTAAAATAATCTTTAATGAGTTGTGATTGTTAAAGATACAGCAACAAGGCTAACTTCTTTATGGCATAGTCACTACATTAAGCATAATGTTCTATTTCTAGTTAAACTGTATTGCCTAAAGGGCTATATCTACTGTGTATGATGTGTATGAGTATATAGATTACTCCTTAAAGAATATGGCAAACCAACATCTGAGGTATAACTGATGTGTTCAGAAAATCAAAGAATGTACAGAAGGACATGACACATCAGAGGTCTCTGCCAAGTAGCTATGAATTTTCTGCTGCTTTCTTCAATTTTTCTTCCTTTTTCATTTGTTCCAGGGCAGCAGGAGAAAAGTCTAATTTAGATACTGGATTCCATATTGTCCCAAACCTGAAACCTAAAGAAAAAATTTTACATGGTCAGTGGTTCAAATTGTAGAGAGATATTGATGATCAAGAACATCCATACAACACTTGATAGGTAACTTTCTCAAGTCTCTCATCTCTACTTTAAGTAGAGATAAACTTGTATCTTCACTGCTATCAAAAGAACTCAGTTCCCCTTTGCATTTCAATAAGTTATTTTTTCAGAATTCATCAATAATTATTTTCTGAGGGAGGGATGTTTCTTCTCTAATCCCTCTAAATCTACTTCAAAATCATCTACTACTACTACTACTACTACTACTACTACTACTACTACTACTACTACTACT